TTTCAAAAGCTTTTTTTTAAACATTTCTTGTACTAACTAATTTAACCTGTTCAATTCCGGTATATCGGGTTTTGCAATTGTTTCATAATAATGCGAGATTAAGAATTTTTTTTTTGGTTGTTTGTCCCATGTGAACTTTTTTTAAGTTAAATTTATAAAAAAACAGATTTACACTATATTATCGAGTGATCGTCATCACATCATGAAATAAAAGGTGAAACATAAAAGAATAATGAAAGAATAAGGAAAGGAAAAATAAAGGTTAATTTTTGTTTCAGTTATGAAATTCAAGAAAATCTTCAAAATAAATAATAAACAAATAAAAGTTTGATTTTTATTTTTATCATGATAATATTTATTATTATCCTTTATTTATTATTATTATTTATTATTATTTATTATTTATTATTATTCAATATTGATATTAATTAGATAAAAAATAAGTTATTTATTTCTTTTCAATTACAGCAATTCCATCTTTACCCAACCCAATCTTTGCAAAAATCTTAAATGGATCATTATAACCTTCACGTGTAATCCAATAAATTTCTTTTAATTCAAATTTGATTGGTTCATTTGAGAAAATTTTGGAAAATTTTTTAATGGCTTCTTGTGCTGATTTCTAAAAATAATTTAAAAATAATTTAAAAATAATTTAAAAATTATTATTAATATATATATATAGTATAGAACGATTGATGAAAAAGATAAAAAGCCAAAAACTTCATTTCATTCAGTCATAAAGAGGATAGATAGATACATGCCTCCCCACGAAACTGACCTAATGATAAATGTGGTTCGAATCCTTTACTTCCAACCTTTATCAGATCATCAAATTCTTGAAATCCAAAATTTGATTCCTTTTCCTTCTTCTCCACATTCTCCGTTGAAATAGAAGTAGTTGTAGAAGTGATGATAGTAGAAGTAGTTGTAGTTGTAGAAGTGGGGGTAGTAGAAGTAGAAGTAGAAGAAGAACTTCCAATTAATCTATTTTCTAATTCCATTAAAATATCTACTGGTTCAGTTTTAGGTTTTAACCAAACAGTGGAACTTGATTTACCAAATAAAAAATAATCTAATTCTTGAAATTCAATTTTAAAAGGTTCAATAGAATTAACTGATTGAATTAAAATTTCTAGTTCTCTAATATCTCGGTTGTATCTATATAATTGGATTCAATTCTATTTTCGTTATTATTATTATCATTATTATCAATTATATCGAGTTTTGATGATGAAGAAAAAGAAAGTGGTGGTAAAATAAATGGATATAATAAATTTATGTGAGGCATCCATCTATTAAAATGTTTATCATGTTTTTGACGTATTTCTTGAATATTTTTCCATTGAAATTCAGGAGGAATAATGCAAATTGCTGATTTATATGATTTATATGATTTATATGAATTATACGATTTCATTTTTTTTTCTAAATAAACAACATAAATATCCACTCACTGCATATCAATTGGTGAATAAATATGATTTGTGTTAAATATAGGATCATGTGATGCAGAAAAATTCGAAGAAAGAATTATTCAAAGAATTAATTTCTAAATGTCGCATCACGAAGAAGAACTAAAAATCTTTGATGATGATGCATTTGTCATATTTTACATGATATCGTGTTGTTCAAATATTTTAATTTTAATTTTAATTTTTTTTACTTCATAATTTCGTGATAATAATAAGCCAGTTTCAATTATAACAACTCTACCATATTTTCAAAGGGTTACTACTTTCTCGGTGCTCCTTTAACACTTTCTCCATCACCAACACAATAATCATCATATTCATCACTTTCATTACTTTCATAATGTCAGTAAGGAATTAATTGGAAATTGGAAATGAATGCACCACGACAACTTCAACTCAAATTCCAAATGTCAAATCATATGTCAACTCCAACTTTAG